AAATAATTTGAGTTGAAGGACATAAATACGATAAGTACGATATTACCTACATTTTGCATTGTTTCGAGTTGGTTCAAAATGGTCACCAGACCTAACGGCCCTTGATTATTTTCTTTGGGGATATCTGAAAAATAAAGTGTTTGTGACAAAACCTCCAGATCTGAACGAATTGAGAAGAAGAATTATTGAAGAATGTGCATCTATTAACCAAGAAATGTTACAAAACGTCATCAATAAATTTTATCATAACCTAGCCCATTGTCAAACTGTGAGAGGAGGACATTTTCAGCATTTAATAAAATAACTTCTTACACTTAATTTTGTTTCTGTTCTTTTAAAGTTATTGTTAATTTTACTTTACTGCTGGTATTTAATAATTTAGTTATTAATAAGATTTTGACTAAACTTGAGTCAGGTACATTTCATTTAACACAAGTTAAATGTTTTGTTTTTTCAGGATTTAACATGAAACATTTTGAACCAGCTCGAAACAATGCAAAATGTAGGTAATATCGTACTTATCGTATTTATGTCCTTCAACTCAAATTATTTCTGAAACCAATGGGTTTAGCTATATGACATGTTTCGTAATTGTTGTTAAGAATCTCTAGAGGAATTAGAAAGTGTAATTAAAAAAGGATCATTTTATTAAAAAAAATGAAGTTTTGTGTAGCACAACTTTTTGGGCCACCCTGTATAATTACAAAAGTCCTATTTCAATAGATTTTATTAAGACCTTCAACTTTTATACAGGAAGTTTTTTTATATTGTGCACCATTTTCGAAATAATTGACTGTTCCGGGACTTTTTACACACTGTGTATAAACATGTCCGCAAGTGAGCCATTTGGGCTCTAGAGTAAAAGAACCGTTTGGTACTTTAATTCTTCGCAATAATTAAATCACTGCTTACTTATTAATTTTGCTTTATTAACGAATAAATTATGGTTTACAATAATAGTGCAAAATGTTGACCATTTACTTCAATGCAAAGATTACACCGTCGGGTCATTGACTGAAAAGTAGTCTACGGAATACCTGTTCGTAATGAGGAAGATCTGTTAGCAAGGATACTGGCGAGTTGTTACCCATGTAGAAGCTATTCCTGGAATATTCCAAAGGGTTCGCGAGTCAATAACCCGAGGTGCAATCTTTGCATTGAAGTAAATGGTCAACATTTTGAACAATTATTGTAAACAAACAGTGATATAATTATTGCGAAGAATTAAAGTACCAAACATTTTTCTTGCTCTACAGCCCAAATGGCTCATTTGCGGACATATGTTCATATCGGGTCTTCAAAAAAAAAAAACAATCAAAGATTGCTATGGTTTTTTAAACGTATGTCTTAGCAATATTTTTCATTAATTTTGTCAATGAACTTTAATGTCAAAATGTTATGTCAAAAATCCTAACCAATAAAGAAACAATAATGCGACATACGTTTTCGTATTCAAAGCAATCTTTGATTTTTTTTTTGAAGCCCCGATATAAACAAAAATGCTTGTTTTGAAGTCCCTTACTACCGTTTAAAGTTTGTCGGTATCTTTTTGGGACACCCTGCATGTCTACTTAAACTACTTATCCGAAGTTAATCAAGACTAGCATAGTCCAATATTCAATTAGATACCTATTGTCGGCTTTTAATTTGTATGCGGTAATTTTTATGAAGGTAATCAAAGATCCAAAACAGTCATAATTTTAATGGTTACCACTCTTGATTCGCTGAATGATACTTCTAGCGGCAATCAAGAGTTATTAGGCATAATAACTTTTCTGAAAGCATTCAAAAACCTAAAATAATCCAATCCAATACACATTTGATTATTACTGACCAGTGATGCCAGGTCTGATGAAATTTCACTAGATCTGGTGATTTTATGAAAAATCTGGTGATTGATGAAAAACTTTTTGAAAAATGGCAATTTCTGGTGATTTTGAAATTTCATCAATTTTGAATATTTTTAACAATGGCATACACTTTATAAACATCCCTCGTAATGTATTAAAATTTTACTTCATTAACATACAAATTTCATTTGTTTGACAGAAAACTAAATACCCATAAGTGGTGTGTGAGGTCCTTTGATTTTTATATAAATTTGTATTTGTTCTTTTGATATATTTATATATGTTTCCCTTTTTATATTTCAATTTCTGTTTATTCCAGGCTCTTGTTGCTATTGGCCGGTTATTTTTCAAGTTGGCAACATGTATTTTATTTGGCCAGTGGCGTTGCTTATGGGGGGTTTCAGTCAAACCAATCGAAAACTCGAAATTTTTATTTTTCATATTTTCGAAATTTTGACTTTTCCAATTGATTCAGCAGGTTTAAATTAATCGAGAAAAATTCCAACGTTACTTTCAAAATGGCGATTTCAAAAAGCTAAAAAATCTCAATTTTTGTTCTGGAAATTTTTTCAAATCTTGACAAGGTTAGGTATAATAGCCAATATCTTCAAACAAATTCGAACAAATCAAAACAAATTATATATGGTTGGAAAGAGCAATAAATTCTCTATAAATCCATGCTAAATTGGTTCTGATAACTCGAATACTTTCTGGGCAATTGGATCTCAAAGTAAACTTTTAGTCCAAATTTTATCAAAAATTTCAAACTCGATTTTCTCGAAAACCATAAGAGCTAGCGATTTTAATTAAATCCATTTAAAGCCCTTGTCAAGAGTTACATTTCCTGGAAATTTCAATTCCAAATCTTTAATAGATTTTAAGATATCCAAGATCAAATATTTTGAAATAAAAATCTAAAGGGGTGAAAAATTGAAAATTATTGTTGTTCATATTTATTGAATTTTGACTTTTCCAATTGATAGAACGGCTCTAAATTAGTTGAAAAAAACTCTTACATCATTACAAAATCTTGATTTCAACACAGAGAAAAATTAAAAAGAAAATCTCAATTTTTAGGTTTAAATTTTTTGAAAATCCTGACAAGGTTAGGAGCAATTGCCAATACTTCTATTAAATTTTGAGCAAATCAAAATAAATTATATATGGTTGGAAAGAGCATCAAATTCTCTATAAATCAGTGCTAGATTGAATTTGATAACGGAAATACTTTTAGACCAATTGAGCCTCAAAGTTGGATTTTAGTTGAAATTTAGTCAAAAATTTCAAACTCGATTTTCTCAAAAACCGTATATGCCAACGACTTCAACTAAGTACCATTTTGAAGCCCTCATCAAGGGCTACAATCTCAAAAAAAAATGATCTAAAATCTTTCACAAGTTTCGAGAAAATTGAGTCTGAAAACTTTGAAATTAAAATCCAAAGGGGTTTAACCCTTTGAAAAAATCGAAATTTTTATTTTTCAGATTTTTTGAATTTTGACTTTTTCAATCGATGGAGCGGATCTAAATTAGTCGAAAAAAACTCTAAATTCATTTCCAAATCTCGATTTCAAAAGGGAAAAAAAAATCAAAAAAAGAAAATCTCAATTTTCAGATCTAAATGTTTTTTAAATCCTGACAAGGCTAGGAGCAATTGTCAATACTTCCATTAAATTTTGAGCAAATCAAAATAAATTATATATGATTGGAAAGAGCATTAAATTCTCTATAAACCAGTGCTAGATTGAGTTCGATAACTCAGATACTTTTAGAGCAATCGAGCCTCAAATTTGGATTTTAGTTGAAATTTAGTCAAAAACTTCAAACTCGATTTTCTCAAAAACCGTAAATGCCAGCGACTTCAACTAAGTACCATTTTGAAGCCCTCATCAAGGGTTACAATCTTTAAAAAAAATTGCTCCAAAATCGTCGACGGGTTTTGAGAAAATTGAGTTTGAAAATTTTGAAATTAAAATCCAAAGGGGTTTAACCCTAACGCAATTTTACGTTTCAAAGTAGGCCCTGTAGTTTTTGACAGTCAATTTAAAATGGCTAGGTTGTTTCCAAGACCTACTTGATTTGATACATTTTTTGCTTACAGTTGTCTGTATTACCGACATCGATTAAAACCTGGGCTGGGATCACAAGTAGAATTCCATTAGAATTCTACTTTCATGACGTCAGGTTGCCTAGCAACAGTGATTATCGCCTGTAGTATACGCGATAAATAGGTCGCGGGAGACGTCATGAAAATAGAATTCTACTTGTCATGATCCCCGCCCAGGATTGCTTCAAATTTCACTTAGTTTTTGATAAGTAGTAATCTTATCGCTTGTCATAAATGATTTTTGACATTTTGCCCAACAGTGTTGGTGTTGACGATGTTTATATAATTACTGTTATGGAAAATTTGAAATTTGCAAGGCCTACTTGGGCTTTTTTTTGTATAAATTCGAGCCTCAATGATTGACACAATATTTGTTATAAGTTGTAGTTGGCAACACTGTTTGACAAGGGACAAAGTAGGCTTTGCAAAATTTTGAAAATTTAAATATGGCGCCCTGTAATACCGACATTGCAATACATACATGTTTTCAAAGCCTACTTGGTTTGATATAAGCCCGTAAGGCGAGAATTTTCCTGAAAAATCAACTTTCAAGATTTCTGATGAATTTTTTTTTTTAATCTGGTGATTTTTCATTCCAATTTCTGGTTAATTTAATTTTTTTGACCTGGCAACAGTGTTACCGACACTTAATTTGTTGGAGATTATTTCTGAAGACAATCAAGGGCTCGAAATAGTTACAGTTTTGATGATAATTACTTACTCTGGATTCATTAAATAATATTTCCAAATGTTTATTTTTATATTTTTATCTGCTCTTGATAATTTCTCTGAAGTTGTAGAAATTGCTAAGTTAAATTATTGTAGTGATTATTACAATGAAACATTGAATGATTAACATCTTCATACAAGAGGGAACTGTCCCTCCAAATCACATTTGATATACATACAATCACATTTCCTATGTATGATGAATTAAAAAATTGTGGAATCAAATTTCTAAAAATCGTTGGTAGGTAAACATAGTTGTTCAGAGTTTAAGCAAGAGCATACTCACACTTCTATAACTGCAAATAAAATAAACAATTAAAATATGTACAATATATTAATTATTTACAATTTGGTCTTAAACTAAATTAAATTTGAAGCTTAATAATAATAATTATTAGATACATTAAAATAGATTAGATACTTGTATCAAGATGTCTCTTGAACTCATCAATTTTTTCAATGACATCCTCAATAAACGGTCTTTCAGCAGGATTTACTTGAAGCATAAATAAGATCAAGTCATGTAATTCCTTGAAGAAAAAAAAAATTTTTCAATCACATTTTTAAATAATAATGATACAAGCAGTTTAAAAGATCAAACTCTAGTTACCTTGGCAAACGCAGTCTCTTCTGGAAAATGCACATTTCCAGATATCACGGCCAAATTAACAGAGTCCCCTCTTTCGTAGACACAATCGTAAGGTGATTTATAATATAGCAGAGCATAAAGCAAACATCCTAAACTCTAAAATAAAAGAAATGCAATTGGATATCAATTATCAACATATTTGAAAATCATGATAAAAACCTTGCTTTATTTTTCTTGTTTCATTAATCATGATGAATAAGAATAAGAGTCAGAATGGAAAGATTTGCTTTGTTGGAGGGCAAATTTCTCACATTTTCGTTCCAATTGATTGATTGTCAATACCTATCAATACTTACCCAAATATCACTCCTTTGATCAATAACACAATAGCTTTCCACTTGAAATAATTCGGGCGCCCTGTACGTCATTGAACATCGTTCTGCGGCAATATCTTGTAACCGTTGAGCGTCCCGTGAGCCACAAATTTGGACTTTTGCAGGTGCACAAGATCCTTAAAAACACAAGTTATAGTTGCCAAAAGGCTACAAACTTTTCAATTCAATTTTGATGCAAAGTTTACTATTCTTCCCCAATAAGAATAAATTTTCTTACCTAAGTCCATTAAAATAGGATCCATATTATCAGTCAGGCAGACATTTCCAGTTTTAAGGTCCCTATGTGCCACTGGCTCTGGGGTAAAATTGTGCATATATTTCACCGCTTGACATATATCATAAAATATCCTTGAAAAATTACTTATTAACAATAATTCAGGATTTTAAAATCAGTTACTCACCTAATTATGTCTCTTACATCCAAATAAGTCTTTGAAACTGATTTAAGAGCTAGATAATCGTGTAGAGTTCCTCTTTTAAAATATGGAAGTACTAGGAAAGCTTCTGAGGTAGAATTGACCACTGTATCTGCAGAACCTTTAATACACGAATCTAAAAAAAAAAATCAGAAGATAGGATAGCATGGCAAATCTTAATATTGATATACAAAAAAATACAATTTTTTTATTTGGAATAATTTTGTTACATATAAATGTAGTTCAAGCAAAATGTACAAAAAATGTAATCTTAAAGTTTCAATTCTTAGAAGTAATAATGTAAGAGAGAGTACATATATAGTCAATTTAAAAATAATTGCGTTAAGAATGAATATATTGTTGATTTTTCAATTCCCTATACTCCAGAACAGAATGGAAAGGCAGAAAGATTTAATAGATGTAAGAATAGTATGTATTATTGATAAAGCTAGAGTTCTGATTCAAGAAGCAAATTTCCCAAAATATTTCTGGAATAAAGTAGTAAAAGTGGCAGCTTATTTGTTAAAGAGAAATAGTCTGGAAAAGCAACACCAGCAGAGATTTAGAGAGTAATTAATTTCTAAAGCAGAAAAGGCAATAATGATAGGTAACACTTACACAACAACTGGATATAAACTTTGGAACATTAAAGGACAAAAGGTAATTGTAGCAAGGGATGTAATATTTATTGAAAATGTGATTTATTTTAAATCAACCACAGCAGAGGTAGAGGAAATGGATAAAGATGTTGAAAATAAAGATGAAACTAAGGAATTCTTTCCAAAAATGTGGGGAATTTAAAGGAATTTGTGGGAAATTTAGAGGAATTTGTGAGGAATTTGAAGAAACTCATCCGAATTTATGAGAATTTGGGGAACTTATAGAGGGAATTTGGAGGAATTTATGGGGAATTTGGGAGAATTTGTGAGGAATTTATGAGGAATTTAAAGGAAAATGTCAAATTTAAAAAATTCAAAAGAATAATGAATACAGTTTTTGTAGGCTGATTTCCAAAATTTTTCATGTTGTTATTTTCCACTGAAAAAATTTGAAATTTTGGGAAAATTACCTTCTCACCTTCCTCTCTACATGCAAAAAGTTTCAAAATTTTCCCCCCTTCACTAGTTTTCCAGGAAATATTTGAAATGTGTGAGACTGTATTTTCAATTAATTCAGTTATTGTAGGTTGATTTCCAAGATTTTTCATGTTGCTGTTTTCTACTGGAAAAAATTGAAATTCTGGAAAAATGGACTTCTCACCTTCCTCTTTATATGCAAAAAGTTTCAAAATTTTCTCATCTCTAGTTTTCTAGGAAAACTTTGAAATGTGTGAGACTGTATTTTCAACTAATTCAGTTTTTGTAGGTTAATTTCCAAGATTTTTCATGTTGCTGTTTTCTACTGGAAAAATTTGAAATTCTGGGAAAATGAGCTTCTCACCTTCCTCTTTACATGCAAAAAGTTTCAAAATTTTCTCTTCTCTAGTTTTCCAGGAAAAAATAGGTGAGACTGTATTTTCAATTAATTCAGTTGTTGTAGGTTGATTTCCAACATTCCTCATGTTGTAATTTTCTACTTGAAAAATTTGAAATTTTGGGAAAATGAGCTTCTCACCTTCCTCTTTACATGCAAAAAGTTTTAGAATTTTCTCTTCACTAGTTTTCCAGGAAAACTTTGAAATGTGTGAGACTGTATTTTCAACTAATTCAGTTTTTGTAGGTTGATTTCCAAGATTTTTCATGTTGCTGTTTTTCACTGAAAAAATTTGAAATTTTGGGAAAATGAGCTTCTCAGCTTCCTCTTTACATGCAAAAAGTTTTGAGTTTTCCCTTTCACTTTTTTCAGGAAAACTTTGAAATAAGTGAGACTGTATTTTCATTCAATTCAGTTATTGTAGGTTGATTTCCAAGATTCCTCATGTTGTAATTTTCTACCTGAAAAATTTGAAATTTTGGGAAAATGAGCTTCTCACCTTTCTCTTTGCATGCAAAAAGTTTCAAAATTTTCCCTTTACTAGTTTTCCAGGAAAACTTTGAAATGTGTGAGACTCGGTGTGAGACTGTATTTTCAACTCGATTTTCAACTAATTCAGTTTTTGTAGGTTGATTTCCAAGATTTCTCCTGTTGTAATTTTCTACTTGAAAAATTTGAAATTTTGGGAAAATGAGCTTCTCACCTTTCTCTTTACATGCAAAAAGTTTCAATATTTTCCCTTCACTAGTTTTCCAGAGTCCTTATTCTTGAAACAGGGGAGCAGCGTTCCCGGGAGAACGAGTATTCCCTCTTTGTTCCTTATATTATCATTTTCATATCATTGAGAAAGACGGAACACTCGTTCACCTGGGAACGCTGCTCCCCTATTTCAAGAATAAGGACACACAGGAAAACTTTGAAATGTGTGAGACTGTATTTTCAACTAATTCAGTTTATGTTGGTTGATTTTCAAGATTTTGCATGTTGTTATTTTCCACTGGAAAAATTTGAAATTTTAGAAAAATGAGCTTCTTACCTTCCTCTTTATATACAAAAAGTTTCAAAATTTTCCCTTTGTTTAGAGGAATTTGTCGGGTATTTGGAGAAGTTCGTGGTTTGGTATTTGGAGGAATTTGTAATGGGATATCTGGAGGAATTTGCAGGAATTTTGAGGAATTATGCGTAAAAAATTCCCCTTTGAGGAATGTTTACACCAATTCTGTGATGGTGGTTTACCCCTTGGATGAAACTTATGAAGAAACAAATAGGTATAGGTACACAGAAAAAAGAAGTGACACAAATTATATTAAAGAAATACAGTAAATTTATAATGATTCATAAAATTTAATTTTAAAAAAATTAATAAGATTGACTGAAACACCTCAAAGATAATAATTATGATGATTACGAAATGTCATGGCATTTGATGCTCTGTCTTATATGTAAATGTGCCCGAAACTGTAGAAGATATAAATGCTATGACTATGATAAGACTCTGTGGAGTAGAGCAATGGAAAAAGAAATAGAGTCTATAGAAAAATAAATAACAAAACAGGAACTAAAGTAAAGAAACCAAAATAATCGAAATTTAAAACACAAAGTGGGTTTTTGCTTCCAAAGTATTAAAAGAAAACGACGAAGATAAATATAACTTAATATGAGGCACTCTTTGTGATGAAAGGATTGTCCAAAGAGATTCAGATACTTACGTAACACAAAACATTTTCGTAGTGAAAATGGGAATGGGATAAGTGTAAAATCAGGGAGAAAATCAGTTAAACTTCAATGAAGGTATCCCTGCAGTCTTGCCCTTCCAGTATACTTAGAATCATTATATTGAATAAAGTTAATTTCCTTTTTTTTATTTATTTATTTAGTAGGTACAGTAAATAGGGATATTTTACTAAAAAAAAAATACTTAATGGCTGAAATTTTGAGGGTGTGGTCGGGGGCATGTCCTGAGTCTAAAACTGAGTTTTCGTATTCGAGGGGGTGGGGGAAGATACTACCCCCTCTTTATGTAGGGTTGAGTTCGTTTTAATTCCTTATCTTCGGTGCTATTGCCCGTACCGTCAAGTCCGAGAGATAAAATTTGTGGGAAATAAAATTATCTATCTAATGCTGATAAAATCAAGGTCATAGGACGATTAGGTGAATCACAATGGTCGGTCAAAGGTCAAAAGTGGGGGGTAGTTTTTGGTTTTTCGTGAATACCGTGAAACCGGTAGGTTTTTTCGCATTCTGCTTCGATACCATTTCGAAGTACTTGAAATAACCTACAAAATGAGTGCTCAAACACTCATCTACTGTGAATAGTTTGCAATCCAACGACCAAGTTGACCACGCGCGCTTAGGAAGCATCAGAGCAAAAAACACCTAGAGACATTTTCGACGTATTTTTTCCTCCTCTATCCGATTAAAATTTTAATTTTTCAAAATTCGTGAAAATGAATGCAAAACGCGTATACCCCATTCTACGCCCTTTCTCAAAATTGGGAGATAGGGGCTAAAACCTTTCCTATATGTCGTAGAGAGCTGAAACTTGAAATTAAACCTTTTTTAGACCCCTTTCACCTACACTTTAAATTTCATCCAAATCGGCCCAAAGCCCTTGGGACGTCATTTTTAGATCGCAAAGTTCTCGAGATATTGCGTTTTTCATGTTTTTCCCCCCCTCCAAATTTTTTTAAAAATTCGTCCCCCCATCCATTCGATAGAGGAACTTTTTCTCTAAGACTTCCCCTGAAAATTTCATTTTCCGCCCCCCCCCCTCCCCACCCGTTTGAGCTGTACAAAGGCCGAAAGTCAAAACTTTGACAGTCCCTCCCCAGGGTTACCCAGGGTTGGGGGGGGGAATGAAATTTGTTTTGGCTCGACAAAATTAAAAATTCTAAGTCCCCTGAAAATTTCAACTTTCTAGCTTATCGGGAAGTACAACATCGGCGCGCGTGGTCAGCTTGGTCGTTGGATTGACAGCAAACTATTCACAGTAGATGAGTGTTTGAGCACTCATTTTGTAGGTAATTTCAATTACTTCGAAATGGTATCGAAGCAGTAGGCGAAAAAACCTACAGGTTTCACGGTATTCACGAAAAACCATCAAAAACTACCCCCCACTTTTGACCTATGACCGGCCATTGTGATTCACCTAATTCATTCAAGAATATCAAATAGAAAACAATTTTATGTTGATAAATCTAGTCATTCGCATTCACCAATGAACCTTTTTTTGTACCATTTACTTACTAATTTATTTATTTTTTGTGCACAATGTTAATGTTATTTACTGACTGGATTTTAATCTTAATTTTAATAGTCCGAGTAATACTCGTTTTAATATTAGTATGTAATAATGGTTTGTCAATAAGATTTTTTTGTTCTTTGACAATAAAGCTTGTTTTGAATTGAAAAAAAAAACATATGCTTTCAGTGTGCAACGAGGTGCTTAATAAGCAGTGCAAATCTGGATATTTTCAGTGTTAGCATCAATCAGCTGAGAAAACTTTAAAGCTGCATCGAGAATTAGTCTTTAGAAAGTATGTTCGTCTTTTCATTGTCATTGCTTTTATTATTTTTTTGCATAGCTACTGGTAAGGTAGCCTTTAATCTACTAAAAATAAAGCATTCACAATTTTACATTGTATTGCCAACATAATGTAATTTTGACTTTTGTCTTTAAAAAAAAAACAGACTTTACTTATGCAAAAGTGTTTAACGCAAATAATTTCTAAATATTTTTGATACTACAGGCATCCATAACTTTTCCGATTAACGATAAACTACCATTTTATCATCTTGTATCAAAAAATAACTATTTAAGGACTTTTTTAAGTTGTAGTTATATGCCCTACCCATCATATCTGTTTATTATCCATGTTAACTGTTTCATTTTTCTGTGTTGTCTGTCTGATTTTATCTTATTTTATTTTGTTTGATTTTATATTTTGTTTTGTATTTTTAAAGTAATTTTCATTAAAAATAATAATGACGTATAAATAGCATACAAAGAAATATTAAGATTTTTGAAAGGGTTTATGGTCTTTTTTAACTTCTAAAATTTGAGAAAAAAGAAGGTGAACCTTTTTTATGCTTTGTAGATTTTGATTGGGCCATCAGGGAAGTAGGTAAATGATAGAAAATTGGTTTCAGGTTTTTTAAAATATTTGGGTATAGGTACTCCATAGGTAACAAAAGGTCTGTTCTCACAGACATCACAAACCAGTTAGACTGAATTTCATTGGTTGAAAATAGTCAGACAACTGGTTGTTGGCAATTTTAACCAATCAAAAACATTCTGAATGGTTTTTGATTTTGGTGAGAAGTGAGAACAGACCTTAACAAAATTGTGTACCATTTTCAAGAGTTTCAAATTCGAAGGTAATAATGACATTAAAATAATATATGAAGAAAAATACATATTTCAATTAGTAGATCTTCAATATTTTGTATTCATGCTGTTATTAGATACAGTGTAATTCTCAGCTTGCAAAATAGTTCAATGCATAAATTAATAATTTACGACCAGTCTACTTTACCGTTTACTGCATACTATGCTGTGAAGTAACTTTACCGAATAGTGTGCGGTAAAGTGCTACTTGCCACTTGCAAATAAGCGCGATAAAGGGTAAAGTGCACTTTACCACACGCTCCTATGTTAAATAAAATAAGACTAAAGCGAGGACTAAAGATTTTAACTTTTCAAACTACTTTTCTTCTTACCAATTAGTTCGATAATATTTGCGTGTCTCAATTTTTTAGAGAAGGATATTTCGTTACTGGCAATCTTTTCATCGTCCAGACTGTGGCATTTAATTCGTTTCAACGCAAATTTTTTCCGCGTCGATGCCTGCTCCACCAATTCTACACAAGAAAAACCACTGAAAATGGAAAAATGTACTTGAATAACTGTATTTTTTTTTCAAAAAATTTACCCTTCTCCCAGCAGATCCCTTACATTGTATCTTATTCCATTTATATCGATACTTTCGCTGGTGCACAAACATCCCATGCGAAGTATTGTACTCAATCCTAAAGCATTCATAGTTGTAATTATATTTTGCAAATTCTATAAACAAAAAACTTGTAAAATTAAAAAATTTAAAAGAACCAGAGAAAAGAAAACAAATTTCCCAACCTCAGTTTCTGACTAGGGATGTCAATAACTGGTGGTTAAAACCGAAAAACCGGTGTTTTCTCTTCGGTTAACCGATTAAAACCGGTTGTTTTTGGCGGATAACCGGGTTTTATATCTAATAACCGGTGAAAATTAAATAAGTAGACTTTTCTCTCGTCTTATTAAATAAATTATGAAATATTGAATAAGCGATATTAGTTGAAATATTTCCTCAGTCTTCAACAGATAGTAGTGCCCATCTCTAGTATTTCATTTCAGTTTCGGTTAATTCGTTCTGCAGCTGGTTGTCTTCCATATTTTCCTTATGAACGGAATTGAAAAAGACATACATGTATTGTTCGTCGATTTTTAACTGATACTTGCGGTATGAAGTGCGAGGGGGTGTTTCATATGGCAAAAATAGGTGTGACGTCAGGTAACCATTGGCGTTCTAATGTAGGGAGCCACCAGCTCACATTCCGTCCGAGTATCAGATTAAAATCGACGAACGGTAGTTTTTAAGCTACAGTTGCGGCCATTGGAATTGGCACAAACTTTAAAGACGCACCTCGTATTGCATCAAAATCTGACTTTTTTACCAAGCCGTTAATGCCAAAATTGTGTCAAAGTGATAATTCAGTGGCAAACTAGAACAGTTTTATTAGTTTTATTATTTATCTTTCAATCATCATATTACTCACGCCACTGCCTACTTTTGTTGGTTACAGTTTTTGTCAGATTTTGATGCAATACGAGTTGCCTTCAAAAAATTTGTGCCGATTCCAATGGCCGCAACTGTACATGTCAACGATTCTTGTCAACGGGTAGGTACATGTTTAAAATGACAGCAGAGAAAATGTTTATAGAAAAATGTAGGTATTCTTTGATGCGTTTTCTTAACATAAGTATAAAGGCCGAAACTCACTAGCAACACGCCACGCCACACCACGCCACGCCACCCCACGCCATGTGACACAGGTTAACGTAGGACAGTTTGTGTGCAAATGGACGGATGGCGTGGCGTGCCATGGCGTGGTATCGCGTATGGCAAGTGTGTACACAGCACATATAAATAAATGGAAGAATATACGCATACATTTTCGTCACATGGCGTGGCGTGGCGAAGCATGACGTGGCGTGTTGCTAGTGGGTTTCGACCTTAACAGTTCCAGATTTTTTTACAATAAAGATATGTTGTTGTTTAACTTATGTTACATTATAGTATAAATTATGCAATTATTCTGTGAAAATTCGGGAAAATAACCGAACTACCAGTTAATCGGAATAACCGGTGTTTTATATCAGTTATATCCGGGCAGTTTAAACCAATGAACTATAACCAAAAACTGGAATGCTAACACATAAGGACGAACTTGAAGCCTAGTGCGGCTGCTGCGGAGGGGATACCTGTTTTTGTCGCACTCATTATGTTAAATGGCGAAAATTGCTTCCAACACGTATTCCAATTGATGAAACCTGTGAAGGAAAATATGACAAAACTTTCGAAAACGTCATATGTCAGCGAGCAACAGAGAAAAACAACATTCCCCCTTGTGGCATCTGTCTTTCATGGCTTCATTTTTTGGGCAGATATGGCATTGTGCGCGCATTCCAGTTTTTGGCTATAGTTCCATGGTTTAAACTGTTATTAAATTAACCGGTTAATGGAATAACCGGTGTTTTAAAAAAACTTGACATCCCTATTTCTGACGTTTCTGTTTTTGAAAAACAAAAACAGCTGTCCATGCTTATGCTGCCTACACACTGGGCGAACGAGGATACGCAACGTGAGTAATCTTTAAAGGGCCGAATGTACCTTGCGTTCGGTATTTTGCTCGAAGAGCAGAGCGTGCTGAGCGGAGCCGTAATCACGTGACCAGTGAGGGAACAGAGCAGTTGAACGCTATATAAAAATGCCAGAAATTTTAATAAACGAACGCGAATGAGGCTGCACCGAGTACACTTTTTGAATAAACGAACGGTAAAGTCATGCTCGGAGAACTCAGACCAAAATAACGAACGCACGGGTAGAAGGCAATTCAAACACGTGACATTCAAGATGGCGTGGCGGCCACACATGGGCCAAAAAACACAAAAAAATATCTAGTTTCTGCCAGAATTAATAGTTTAGGTACCTAAACAACAAATATTTTATAAAATAATGAAAATCAAAGTTGTAAGCAAAACTGTATGCAAAATAATTTAAAATACGCATGAAAACATATCCAAAACAAACTTGCTTGGCCGCCACGCCACATTGAATTTTCCGTTTTGACAGATGGATTGAATTGCCTAATAGTCGTTCTCCTCGAGCCTTCCTTGTAGATTGGAGTTTAGAATGGACAGTTGCCACTATTTGATAAGTTAGTCATGTCAAATCTAAATGTTCAAGGCTTCCTTCTTCTGAGGAAACCTCAAGGAGCAACTATAAATTCGGCAAGGAGCAACTATAAATTACACCTCCATAAATCAACGCTTAAAATCACGTCAAACCCGAGGCCGTCGTTTTTCAACCCAGTCCCTGAGTGAGGTAATTTGGGCGGCGGGCGCACTCACACGTAAACGCTCGATTTCCGAACGATTCCATCGAACGCTCCGAGTAAGCACCTGTTAATTTATGAACGGTTTAGAATTACTCTAGGGCAGGAATGGGCATCTACGCGTAAATAAAGATTGTCTACGTTCTGTGTAAACATTAAAATCTGTTTTTTTTTTTAAAGATGATTCCCCAAGTCAAAAATTTAGTAACTATGTTGGCAACACAAGCCTTTTCTACCCTAATAACACCGATCTGCCAGAAACATCCCATTTATGTACCATTAAGGTCCTTATGTTTCCGACATAAATGGTACATCGCTGCGATGTTTGTAATGTAACATCTCTAGGATGATTGTCCTGAAATGTTTTAGAAACATCCCTTCGAAAATATCTCTCGAGAAAAATATTTTTTGTTCTCAACATTAGATACTTATTACACCTAAAAAATGGCTAACATTATTTTACAAAACTAGGTAGGACCTCAGACCGGTAGGACCCAGTATTAAATTTGCCAATTTCGTGTAATTTCTGAAAATGTCTCTATCACACACACAAACTTATTTCAAATTCCATAATATACCTGTAATGTAGATAAGGTACTATTAATATTAATTTTGTATTGTAACAACAGTAAAATTTAATTTTTCATTCGACTTACAACTTGGAATAAAATAAAATATGTATTGATAAAAGTCTAGTTTCCATTGAAAATAAATAAAGTAGCTATTTTACGTACCTAGGTATACATAAAAAAATTGGATCGTGTTTTGTAGGACAAAATGTCTTTGAAAAAATAAAAAGCTTCAATAATAATTATTCAAATTTATTTACAAAAGGCGGAAAGTGCTAAAATTAGAGTTTTTCCTTTGTGTTTTTGCATATTAGTGCAATAATAATATTCACCAATGCAGTAGGTAGAGCATTCCATTTAGGTATCTGACAATTTGCATTTCTTTTACTAGCTCTTGGATCTTTTACCAATATCTACAATTGTGTAAGATTCCTGGTAAGACTATTTTTTTTATTATTCCTCCGAGTATTCCTCTATTTGTAAGCCCATTCATGTGCCAATTGCTTCCTGAAAATCTCATACCTACCACAACTAAACATACCACAAAAACAAGCTCTACAACAAAACATCACTTTTACAGAGTAGAACAAAATTTGAAGTCATACCAGGCATGACAATACAAATCCCTCCATAATCCCATTAGCCAATCAGTGCGAACTGAGTGAAAAAAGTTGCACTGATTCTGCAAATTGAAAACGCTATAATATTTAAAATACTTACAGTGGCTAAATAAACCTTTACATACAGTGGCGACAATAGAGGTCCCGCCGCCATCTTGCTCCCAACCTCTTGTTACTTTTAAATAATAATATATAGGATTTAAATGGACATCTATCATAAAAAATTGAAATCGACGTATTTGATGACCATTATTAGGTCCATCAAATACGTTGTTTTCCATGATTTATGATGGATGTTCACCTAAATCCCATATATTCATATTTAAAAGTAACAAGGGGTTGGGAACAAGATGGCGGTGTTTTGAATATAAATATATGGGATTTTAGAACCAATCAAAAATGAGACAGCAATTGTCACCACTGTGGGTTATAGAGTCACTGTAAAAATACTTTCATCTTGGCGCCATCTATAATTTTTTTTAGAACTAAAATATAATTTGAAGGGGGGCCGTTGCGGCCTTAATACGGTAAAAAAGCAATACCCGAACGGCTGGAGTGCGAATGGAGTCACTCGGAGTGCATGGAGTGAGCAAGCCGAACTCACCTTATGAAATCTACTTTACGCGGTTTGTCTACTAACTACGTATTGTTTACATCCACTTTTTTCATGTTCATGTAGGTAGACTATGTAAACTATAGCTGGGTTCGGCTATTCAGCGCGGAGTTGGAGTGGAGTGAACAGAGCTAATGGAGTCACCCCTAATACAGTAAAAAGCAATACCCGAACCTTAACCCGAACGGCTGGAGTGCGAATAGAGTTACTCGGAGTGCACGGAGTGAGCAAGCCGAGCTCACCTTATGTAGACAATGTAAAGTATGTTTTTTTTTTAAAGATAATTCCCCAAGTCAAAAATTTAGTAACTATGTTGGCAACACAAGCCTTTTCTACATAAAAAATTTGAAGCATTGACAATTTTACATTGTACCTATTGCCAACCAGAGCTGGGCAAGCTACCTGAAAAAAGTAGCTAGCTACAAGCTACAAGCTACTTTATATTGTAAGTAGCTAAGTTACTCAGTAGCTTAACTACCTCTTTGCAAAAGTAGCTAAGCTATTAGTAACTTAACTACATTTTGAATCAGTGAAAGCTACTATTTAAGCTACTTTTATCAATGTACATGCCTTACCTAATTTAATTTCATAATATCATCATACGAAAATAACATATATTAACTTTCTTTAAGAGATAGTATTCATATTTTTGTCAAAAACAATGGACATTAATTTATAAGGTTCACTTTGATCACAGTGATCTGCGAATGCGAGAATAAAATAAGACACATACCTACAGAGAAAACTAGAAACTAGTCTAAGCAAGGCAGGATAAGAATTTTCCGGAAAATGATAATTGTAGCTTGAGCAATTAAAGTATAAAGTTACTTTTATCGAGCGGTAAATTCGAACGCGGGCGATAGGTTGGTGGAAACGTGCCTTTATAAGGGGAAAACTGTTTATTTTTGAAAACAATGTCGAATGGATGCCATTATAATATAGGTATAGTTATTTTATTTTTGAACTAGAAGAGTCCGCTGCGCATAAAACGTAATAAGTATTTTGGGCGTTGAGTATCGTTAACCACACCCTCGGGCGGTAAATGACAGTTTCTGCCATTAATACCTAAATAACTATTAACTATCTACCAAAAGTAGCTTAATAGCTTGTTTTAGTAGCTAGCTACTTTTCAGAGTAGCTTATGAATACTTGAAACACATCACTAAAAGCTACAATTTAAGCTACTTTTTTTTCAAAGTAGCTTGAATAAGTTATTAGCTACCAAAAAAGTAGCTAAGCTAGTAGCTTAACTACTTGGTAGCTAGCTACTGCCCAGCTCTGCTGCCAACATAATGTCAGTGTCAGTTTGACTTTTATCTTTAAAAAAAAAACAGATTTTAGACTGTAAATATAGACAACAGAAAATTTGAAATTTGAGTTGTTTTTTTTTTTTGAAAGTTTGCATTACATTATATTTATATTGTATTAAATTAGACATATCTTCAGTTTAACTAACTACGAAGCAAAAAACAAAACATTTAAAGTGCGTTTTTTTTTTTAAACATAAAAGTCAAACTGACATTAGGTTGGCAATACAATGTAAAATTGTCAATGCTTTCAAATTTTTCATGTATCTGTTCTTACTCCACTCCAACTCCGCCGAATAGCCGGAGCCAGCTATTAGGGGGTTACACACGGACGTGGATGTCTGAAAACATGTACGTATATACATGAACGTGCAGACAAAAACATCAATGTGTATGCAAAATACCGTCGCGTTTTTGAAAGTGCAATTTTTGTATGCGCACTCGGAACACTGTAGCAAGAATAGCAAGACTGCAGTTTTGTGCGAGCGTCTGTACAAAATCGCCATGCACGTTGTTGTTTGCACGTTGATGTATGCACGTATATGTATTAATACATCCACGTCCGTGTGTAACCGCCCATAGTCTACGGCACATCCCTGCTCTAGGGTCACTCTCACACCCAGAGTAGTGTTATTTCTAAACGCAACATTAGCTGCTTACGATCAAGCACTTTTCTTACCTAACTTAAAGAATCTAACTTAGTTGCGCGTACGATCTATCATAACTAAGTTAGAATCTGCCTTCCCCCCTTTCCCTTGCTTAAGACACCCGGATTTTTAACTGAGATAACTTAGCTGACCTAATTTAAGTTGGCGCGAAGCACTCATTTTTTGAATTTTGACGTTTAATAATTTCTAAATTGAGGTTGTTTCTTTATTTTTATTTTGTTGAAAGTTGGTCGTTGGAACAGGAACTTTGAAAAGGTGTTTAGTTTAATGAAATTTATTATTCATTATTCATTATTGCCATTTCACGCTTCATGACACTTCTAGGTAGATAATTGTTCATTTTTAATGTGAAATAAACTGTGCTGTAGTACAAAAACAATTCAGTTTCAATTGAAAATAAATTAATAAAAACAACAAACTGAACCTGAAACTCTCGTCGTAACTAGAACCCGAACTAGAAATACGTGACGTGAATCGTAACTTGATAGGCAGCTGATCAGCCTTTATGAATTGCGCGTACGATCAAACAACTTAGCTCAGCTAAGAAACTAACTTCAACTTAGGTAAGAAAAGTGCTTGATCGTAAGCAGCTTCTGTCTGTCGACGGTGTAGCTGATGAGCCCGTTTTACAATAGGAAAAATCGGGTGTCTTATTTTTATTATTGCTCACTGTGTTTATTTAATACGCAGACGCTACTCGAAACTTGTCAAGTATCGCATAGTGACTAGTGTGTAGCCGCCTTTATACGGCACCTCGACGCCGACGAGTTATCGAACGCACTCCAACAACAACATTCTAACCTCACATATTATTATTTTTTTTTTCAAATTTGAAATCCCTGCCGACCCTGCCTAGTCCCTAGTCCTAGACCTAGTCGCCTAGTAAAGTTCTTGTTGTAAAAAAAGCTTCCGGGGGGCCCTATATTTGTTCAAATAAAAATGGGGATCATCGCTAGCAATTCCTATTTAGCAATTTTTGGAGCGGGTACTTTTGTTGGAGCCGCTTGGACTTATTTTATCCTGAAATTGGGGGCAAGCAACTGGCACAGATTTAGAGTTAAAAACTCTTCAGATGGAAAAAAAGAGAATTTTTGGGATAATGGTATGGAAGAAAGATATCAGGCAAGTAAACGTGAAGGAAATTACCTTAGATTAGTATTGTCCGTCGATTTGAACCTGATACTCGGACGGAATGTGAGCTGGTAGCTCCCTACATTAGAACGCCAATGGTTACCTGACGTACACCTGTTTTTGCCATATAAAACACGCCCTCGCTCCTCATACGGAAAGTGTCAGTTAAAAATTGACGAACAATACATCTTATCTCGTTTTCATGGTACACCTGGAACCAAATCCCTTAAAGCTGCAAATTGCTGGATTATTAGGCCTTGGGGTGTTATTTAATATACTGAAAGTCCCCGCCCCTGGGGGGTGGCAACCCTCCCAAAAACCACCCCAAAGGTACAGGGTGGCAATTTTTGACCGTTCGCAAATATAGAAACGTATGTAGATTGTTCCTAAATCTGCGAACAGCCACAAGTTCTAATTTTTGGTCGTTCGCAAAGTTTCGTATGCGCATATTTTCATTCGCTTTTCTGCGAGCGGTATTCTAGTCGCCTTATTCGGTTTGCATATTCGTTTTTCTTTTGTCAAGTGGGGATGTTAGGTTGTTTTTGTTTGTCAGTTTGTTTGATAGCGATTTTATTATTGGATTATTGTGTATCTACTATCTCTGTATCTGGGAGGGTGGTATATAGTATGCACAGCTCTTAGCCACAATTATGCCCATTGTACGCCTCCACAAGAAGAGAGGTCATCATTAGCTCATCATCCAGCCTAGCGATTTTACGTAGGCGATGACGTCGCCGAAGGCGGTACCTCTGATCTTTTCTAGAGATGGGGACGATTGGCCTAATCTGGCTCTGTGTATTGGCGAAAGAGCAGTGCAGTCACAGTGAATGTGCTCTATTGTCTCGTCTTCTTGATTACAAGGTGTCTCTACTATAATTTGGAGTACTTGATGAATGTACTGGCAATTCGTAATTTGGATCTTGGAGTTATGCTTAACCCGGGGGTGACTTGCTATTGAGAAACCGGCCCAAAGGCAGTTTATTAAAGGGTGTTCATTTGTACTTGTTCTACCTGTTCAAAAAATTGGGAAGATCTGCTAGGAGCTGCTATTTATGAGCTTATATGAGACAAGTGAACGCCGATCTACTGCTGAGATCTGCTTGAAGCAAGAAAGGCAGTACAGATTACAAATAAACACCCTATTAATATGTTCTGATTATCGAAAGAGCTTGTTAGATATTTGGTTGAATGTTTAGAACCTCATACATGCCCGACACAACGACCAATAGATTTAGATGTCTGGACTAAAGTAGGTAATGAATGTTATTTTTATTTAGAAGGTTGTTTTGCAATATTTGCTATACAGTTATTTTAATGCTCATAGGTTTTGATTGCGTTGAAATTTTTCGCAAGTGGTAGCTATCAACCGGATTAGCTGTAGCTTGCTTTTCACATACTTCACAAGTTTCTTTTGCTTTTCACTGGCATTTGCACCCCTTTTCTTTTAGTTTTTGTCACTGCTTTCTTCCATAATTTACCACTATCGTAAACATCCACAATTCTTCAAAACTTAATTCAAAAAGGCAAAAACACATCAAAAATTTGTCAAACATTCTAAAATTTCCGACGTTGCCAAATCAACCATACGTATGTTAACGAATTCGTAATATCTACGTTTATCCATTTACGCACACCGATCAAAAATGGGTTTATAGATACGTATACGTTTATTTTTGTTCGCAAATCTTCGAATACGCAATTTAACGTATATCGTCAAAAATTGACCCCCAGTCATTTTTTATATTTTACCACCCCCCTTAACTTTTTTGTGCCACTGTGTATAAAAAAATTTAAATAGGAATGTTGTAGTGCTTGAAAAATAGTTCTCAGAAAACATAGTTTTGTTCATACAGGGTGTTGCAAGAAGTTTAAAAAACAAAAAAAAAATATTTTTTTTTTAATGGGACACCCTGTATATTATGACCTTTCTGGATTCTGCGGAAAATTCTAGACATATTTCATACATAATGTCATATACGTATCTTCAACTGTTTTGGAAATAATGACAGTAGAAAATTGACTTGTTTGCAACCATGATTGAAAATTCTAATTAAATTTAATCTCTGGTTCAATTCAAAGTTGGTGTCAAATGCTAGCTTATGAAAAGCTGCAGACAAGAATTTATAATCGGTTTTGCTGGAAAATTAACAGTTTAGGTTTCACAGTCTCTTAAAGTTGCAAAAAAGCCAATTTTCTACTGTCATTATTTCCGAAACAGTTGAAGATAGGTATATGACATTATACATGAAATATGTCTAGAATTTTTCGCAGAATCCAGAAATGTCATAATATACAGAGTCCCCCATTTGAAAAATTATATTTTTTTGTTTTTTAAACTTTTTTCAACACCCTGTATGAACAAAACTATGTGTTCTGAGAAGTATTTTTCAAACACTACACCTTTCCCATTTACATTTTTTTTATACACAGTAGCACAAAAAAGTTAAGGGGGGTGGGAAAATATAAAAAATGAACCTGTACATTTTTCCACTTTTTTATGAATATCTTCTTTATTTTTAGTTTTTGATGAAAAATACTAGGCATCAAATTTGAAACTTATAAAATTTATTAAAAACGATATATGCAGTGTGTAATGGAATAAATTCGGTAATAAATAAATGGAGGCCTTTTCAGAAAAAAAGGGTCGGACACGTCAATTTTGTTTTTTTGCTTAAGATTTTCTCACACCATTTTTTTTACACAGGGTGTTCTAAGAACAGCTCGATGGCTTCAAGGCAGAACGGCACAAACGCCATTTAGCAAATTTTACAGGAGAGACAAAAAACCGCCCAGAACCATAATTTTGGATTTTTTTAAACCTTTTTTTCACCATGTTATTGATATTTAATCTGGATTTTGTTGTCAAAAATTTTAACTATCACATATTTGAAATAACATATGCCCACTTGCACCGTTTTGTCTAACTGATCAGTTTAATTAACGGACAAGTTAAAATTTAAGAGCAGATTAATTTCTGAAGCCTTGCACCGTGATTTTTCAGGTAAGGCTCAAAATTTAACTAGGGATCTAGGGAATTTCACTAAAAATTGGGAACATTGGTACTAGCCATAGAGTACAACTTAACTTCACACTCATTTCTGATGCAAATATTTTGACGTTAATGTTGGCAATTAGTTTTCTTTTAATATTCCTTTCATTTTTTCCATTTTTTATTATGGAGGAAAAGGGAGAAAAAAAAGGGTCGATCCTCAAACTTTTCAGAAAATGAAATTTTATCAATAGTGACCAGATACAAAGGTACCATCAAAAATAAAGAGACAGATAAGGCGACAGATCAAGAAAAAAGTGCTGTATGAAACAAAATTACGAAAGAAATTATTCCGCTTCAACCGCTTCCCCTGTAACAAGCTACTGGTCGAAGGAGTGCTTAAAAAGGAAAAGAAAGAAAGAAAGAAAGAATTTGCTTTATTGTCAGAAAATTTTACAATTTTGTGGACAAAGCTGAAAAAATTTAAAAAAAAACATACAAATGCAAAAGCACAGACAAAACCAAACACTTGAACAAATAGTTCATGGTCAAAATTTGATTAAAACTAATAAACAAACATCTAGGTCTAACTGCTTATACTGTGCGAGTAAGCATATTATAGGTACTAAAAAAAACAAACAAACAATAACTTATAATAACCTATCATGATACAGGAACAAAAACAAAACCTGTGAGTAAGCTGCTCAAAATTTAGAATTAGGAAACCATAAACAACTCGCTTACTGTGTACAAGGCTCTCCCCAGTAAATACACCTTCAACGCCCTGCGAAATTCGAGAAAAGATGCAATGGACCTGATGTTAGGCGGTAGATGATTATGCATCTTTTTAGCATTATAAAGTATTGAACTTTTAACTAACTCTGAGCGCGGGATTGGCAGATAAAGATTCAACTCTGCGTTCCTCAGTGGATAATTGTGAGATGGCCTCTCTGAGATAGCTGATATTAAGTGCTTACGAATTAAGCAGACGGATTCGAAAATAAATAAAGATGGAAGAGTCAATATACTAGACTTGATAAAAATTTCCCGGCAGTGAGTTCTACTACCAAGTCTCAAAGAATAACGAAGAGCTCTCTTCTGCAGTCTAAAAATGCGTTCAAATTGAGACGCACAACACGTGCCCCAGAATGGAAGGGCGTAACGTAAATGCGACTCAAAAAGAGCATAATTATACCATCCTGCAAGTTGCCGAGTTAAGCTCCCTGGAAACAGATCTCAGTGCAAAACAGGCCGAACTTAATTTCTTTGCTAAGGCGTCGATATGCAGGTCCCACTTTAGAGATTTATCAACAACAAGCCCCAGGAATTTCACAGAATCAACGGAATCCATGGTATTGTTATCCAGTACTACAGATTGAAGCGAAGCTCTGTAAGATAAAACTTTGGTTTTAGAGAGGTTGAGGCACAGGAGATTTGAGTCACACCATGATTTGATGGTGATTAAGTCACTAGATACGGTTCTATGGAGTTCCGTAATATCCGGGTTGCTCCAAGTGAAACTAGTATCGTCTGCGAAGAGACAAACTTTGCCGCTAATATCCAGACTAGCAATGTCGTTAATAAATAGCAGGAACAAAATAGGGCCAAGAACTGAACCCTGAGGCACACCACATTCAATTAGTTTACAAGAGGACATGGTCGAGTCCACCCTCACAAGCTGACTTCTGTTACCAAGATAAGACTTAAACCATTCGAGAGCCATTCCTCTGAAACCGTAGAACTGTAATTTGTTAATTAAGATATTATGATTAACACAGTCGAAAGCTTTGGAGAAATCACAGAAAATTGAGGCTGTAGAGTGGTGGCAGTTCAGGCTGGAGTATACATTATTGAAAAGGGAAAACATTGCATCATTAGTACATTTGTTACTTAGGAAACCGAATTGACTGGTAGTTAGAATATTATATTTAGAGAGAAATGATAGAAGCCTCTTTTTAACCAATCTTTCTATGATCTTTGATAGCGTAGAAAGAGTGCAATGGGGCGATAGTTTGAAGGTAGCTCCTTATCACCTCCCTTATGCAGTGGGATAATTATCGCCATCTTAAGACAGTTTGGAAAAGCTCCATTTAGAAACGACTTGTTGATCAGAGTAGTAAGATGTTTTAATGTGCAATCAGGAAGATTAGAGAACATTTTGAGGGTGAGTCCATCAGTCCCAGATGAAGATTTGTTTTTAATATCTTTGATTGTACTGCGAAGCTCTGGAACTACTACAGGCTTGAAGAAGAAACTGTGTAAGTTCACCTTAGCATTCGGGACATATGAAAGTGGGTCCTGGGAAGGAGTTAAGGTATTCACTAAATTCTTAGCCACAGCAACAAAGTAATCGTTAAGGATCTTAGGTGAAGTAGGAATTTTGCTAGATGAAGAAGCCTTATTCCTCAAGTCATTAACAATTGACCATGTTTCTTTTGCAACATTTTTGGAGTTTGCCAGCCTCCTATTATAATAAATGTCTTTGGCGGCTAAGGGGTTCTAAGGTTCTAGCCAAAGTCTTTGTTCTAGTGACTTTAGGTCCCAACTTCTATCTTCTATGGAATAATTTCGCAGGCATTTCACTTACGATATGAAAAAGTTTTGGTAGGTTTTAGTTACCAACACGCTACGCATAATTTAAAATTCAAGTAAGTGTTGTTTGAAAAATGTTTTCCGTTTTTTTTTTGGTGGATTTGCGTTTCCGAAGATCTTCTCTTTGAGATTTGGCGAGCGGAGCGAGCAATCGGAGACTCAAAAATAATTAAAAACAAGAAGGTGTTATATTTGCAAAAGGCTTTTCACGTTTTTGGTAAATTTACATTTCCGAGGATCTTCTCCTTGAGGTTTGACGAACCGAGCGAGGAATCCGATTCTCAAAAATAATTTAAATTTCAAGATCCCATAACTTGGAGCTTGTACTTGTGTCCGTACCAACCACGCTGAAGGTTATTGGTTGTCATTTAAGGAATACCTAGGTAGGTACTGGAGGTTAGGACTGAGTAATGCAGTCTCCCTTTCTTGTGGATTATATCGACCAATTTATGTGGTTTCAAATTTATGTAATACCTGCAAAAGCAAAGGCATATCACTGGGAAATTCATCTTTGATACACAGCTAATACCGACCGATAGTAGAGTAGGTAGGGAATTTTCGTAGTTGATTTTCGAAAGGTGTCAAATCTTCATTGACCCACAAATCGTCAATTTTGAATATAATTTTCTGATGGAAAATATGCATTTTGCGCATTTCTATTTTATTTATAGCTTAAACGTTTCTATTTGATTTGAATCTTTCCCAAAAATAAAATAAAAATGCCATTTTTATTTGGACCTATACCTAAGTCATTAGACCCAAAAATCCTTAACTGTGATTTTAAACCACCGAAATTGGGGGTTTATTTTAACAGCAGTTTAGAGGTACTTAAATAAGGATTAACTTGCGGTGCAAGTCAGTTAAGAAAAATAAACGCTTGTTAAAATTTAAACCTCTGTTTAACTTACGGTGCAAGTGGGCAATAGTATTTTAAATAAATCCATAATATTCTTGCTTGTGCCAAAACAGGTTTATCTTGTGGCGGTTATGTCAGGTAACCAAAGGCGTTTGTGTCAAATAGATATTATATCCATTATCCAGAAGGTGAAATGGCGGTTAACTGGATTTGTGCCAAAACAATTTAAAAAACAAAACAAAACAAAATTGTCGTTTATGCCAAAAATATTGCAATAAAAATGGGTCATTTTTTTATTCTCCTCTATTCCGTGTTTCTTCTATATCAATTCCATTAATTTCCGGCCTCGTGAGCAGTATTTTTTATCCATAATTTCTGTAACAAGATAGAACCTAGTACATTACCTACCTACTAAAGGCCTAAGCGCCATACTAAGCAAACAGCTATTTTCTACAAGTTTCCTTTATTATATCATATTCCAGCTTTAAAGAATTAGTTATTGAACTTAATGGGTATAAAGTCAAACTACACTTTACATTAATTTAAAATTAACATCAGTGTGGGGTAAAAATGTATTTGAAGTGCACATTTAAATAACATAGTATAATGTCGTTTGTGCCAAACAGAATTAGATGCAATTGTTTTGGCACAAGCGTCACAGAATATTTTGCCTTAAATTCTAAACTTTATCATATTTTAAACACTTAATTCAATAGTTTGGTATATTTAAACATATGACATATAAAATAAGTCAATTTTTTCAACGATTTCTCAAATGAAATAGCTAGGAGACCCTTATTTGGCGCTTGTGCAAACTTTAAAATGAAATTGCGGCGAAAATAATTTTTTGGTGGATATGCCGCTTGCACAGACCGACGCAGAACTTAATTTTCTATCTACCTATACCTTTAAGTCATTTTCGAGATTTTTGGCGCTTATGCCGTTCTGCCTTGAACCCATCGAGCTGTACTGTCATCAACTTTATTTTTTTAAATGGTACCTCCTGTATATTATGACATTTTTAGATTCTGCGAAAAATTATAGACACATTTCATGTACTACAGACAAGAATGTAATCAGGTTTGCTATAAAATTAATCTTTCAGGTATTACAGCGTGTCCAAAGTTGTAAAAAAGTCAATTTTCAACTTCAATATTTCCGAAACAGTTGAAGATAGGTACCTATATGACTTTGTACTAGAATTTGCCGCAGAATTCAAAAATGTCTTAGTATACAGGGGGTACAATTCAAAAAAATAAAGTGCAACGTTTGAAATAATAAAGCCAGTACCTACCAAAGATTTTAAATTTTATTTTTGTTTGTAACTGTCTAATATTAATGTCCTGTTTGTTTACAAAGCTTAATCGAAGAACGAAGTGAAGCAACATTATGTTCCTTATGTATATAACATTCTATTCAATAACACTGGAGAAGTAACTTGTATTGCCCTGAGGATGGCCTAATTTAGGCTGAAACGTCGGCAAATATACATTGTTTTCTTCAACGCCGTTTATTTTTGACCTAAATCCAACCTTTTTTCAAAAAAACCAACCGGAATATCTACTGAAGTCACCAACTATAACAAATCAAAAAAATTAAGTTTATAACCGTACAGCTGTTTTTAGAACACGCTCTATATTAAAATTGGAGTGAAAAAATCTGAAGCAAAAAAACAAAATTGACGAGTTCGAGCGTTTTTTCGAAATGTTGCCCATTTATTTATTATCAAATTTATTCCATTTGGCTGATACACACTGTATATAGTTTCATATAAGATTAATTAGTGCTGTCCGTTGAAGTAAGCAAAAATACGAATTTGTTATAACAATGCTATAAAAGTAGGGAATGTCGCTTGCATTTGTTGTATGTCAAGGAGATGAGCATCCAAAATGAAATTCTACCACTACTAGGAACTAAATAGCGAAATATGAATATATTTCTTTTTTATCGAGTTTTTTATAATAGTTTATATCCCTTTTTTTTAATAGTTTAAAACAGGTTGGCTTTCCCTGGTATATCAGTACTCTATGCAGAAGGAAGGCACATTGTATGATCGTGAATAAGATCTGACACATGTGCAGTAACAAGCATAATACATATTGTAGATACCTATAATACCAACTTAATTTTGATTTTTCTTAAATAGGTATATTCCCAAACTTCGAGTTTTTCTTTATTTCAGTTTGAAGACACAGACGACGAATTTCGATTAATCTTAGGAGTAAGAAATGACCTCAAAATGCAAAAAGGCAAAGTTGCCGCTCAATGTGGCCACGCCGCTATGGCTGCTTATGCAAAAACATTAAATAATAGGAAGTTGCTCCAAAATTGGCTCAAACATGGTGATTATAAGATTCTTGATTTCTCTATTTCATTTTAGTTAGCTTTTTCTTTATAATTCTCGAAGTTGTTAATTAATATGACTGATTTTTTATAGGGGGCACTAAAATTGCATTAAGAGTAGACTCTGAAGAGCAGTTATTGCAACTTGATAGCAAGGCAAAGCAAATGAATGTATTGAGCTCTATTATAAGAGATGCTGGTCAGACTCAAGTAGCACCAGGTGAGGCATAATATTTTATTTAAGGAAATACTAGAATATAATTAAATCAAAATACTACAATTAGTACATACCTACCTAAAGTACGTTAATTAAAATTAAAAGTTATACCTACCTTAAAATTCAACACTAGAAATTAAATTCAAATCGTTGCCATTAGAACTCCTTTCTGCATTCTTTTAATCCATTCCCAGACTGTAATATGTTTGTTTGGAAAATTCTGCTTCAAAAAACGATATTGCGAAATTATAATAATTCAATATTTAATAATTGTTTATGTAAATACTTATACCTTGAATAAAAAATCTTAGAATCACTTAACATTGAACCTAATCTCCATTTCCGAGATTCCAATCCACCAAATATTTTTCACAACATAATTCTTGTATTGTTTATTTTAGGTACCAGAACTGTGATAGCAATAGGCCCAGCCCCAAAAAGTGTATTAGACAAGATTACGGGCAACTTAAAGTTGTATTAAAATCAAATAAATACCTATCCATATTCTTTCATGAAAGTATGTGATTTATAAAACAAACAAGGAACAAAGTTATAAAACTTTACTGTTACCTTACATATTGAAAGGTCAATGTTAATATAACAGATTTTATTATGAAACAACCTTGTCAATTGTGTTTTATTTTATTGTATGGAAATTTTTCATGGAGAGCCATTAAAATATTTAATTTATGTACTCGATATACTTGATAACAATGCTAGCGATTCCTTCTAGTAATCTGCTAATCCGAATTAGCATAGAATTGCTCTAGTTTTTTTTTGACTATTATCATGGTCATTGGGTGAGATATCTAATAGTTAGAGATTGGATTTGAAAAACAATTGAAAATGAATTTATTATTATTAATCCAGAATCTAGAGTTTGTTTATCTCTTACTGGAAGTTGTTTGCTAGCCAAAGTGCATTTGAACGTAAAGTTTGCTGTTTTAGGAAGAGCTCCTACATCTATTTTCTGTGTCTCACTTATCTGCGAATTCGCCTAAATAAAACTATTTGCTTCATTTTTGATAGGTACCTACCTAATTCATTTCATTTACTACTTATTTTTATGGAGTTTGCTATGTAAAAAAAGGAAATTTCACACAATATCTCCATTGCAATTAGCTACTTATTGTCTTATTTGAGGCAAACCTTATTTAGGCATGTGATGCACTTGATCTCTATTATACTAATACATTTCAACCATTCAATATACAACGGATTAAGGAACGGTTTATCCGTGGACGGTGTTTGGGTTTAGTTCTTGCTCTCGGTTTAACTATTAATTATTATCAAGTTAAACGAGAGCTAAACTAAATGAGCGTCCATTGATAAACCGGTCCTAAAACACAATAGAGTCTATTGTGTTTTAGAATTGAATAGACTATGGACTAATAGTATAACTCTACTCTAAACAGTAAAACGAGAGTCAAAAACTAAACCTGTGATCTGATTATGTAAGTAACTACTACTACAATGCCATATTTATTTGAATAATGCACAAAATTATTTTCCCCTCCAAAATAATGCATGACTTTCCCTGAAATTAACAATTTCTACTATATAAATAGACCAATCTTTACATTTTCATTTCATCAATGTTTAATTCGGTGCTCTCTATTCCAAATAAATGTAAAGTTTTTTCAAATTATAAGATACTTACTTTCAAACCATTCTTTATTATCTAGTAGTTTTCCTAAAAAACCAAAAACTTCGTTAAATTGTGGATTATGCAAAGACACTCCTCGAAAACTTATTCTATTCAAAATTTAAAATTTATATGACTTTGTACAATAAGTAGATTACACACTTTGAAACAGGGCTATTAGATAATGATAATAATTTTAGCATTCTATTGCGCCAAATAAAACATAAAGATTAGGTACCTGCCCAAACTGTTTTTATTATTCAAATTTGCACACGATAACGGAAGTGAGCTTTTGGTATTTACATAAATAATCAAAAGTACGCAAAACCTTCTTGCTGCAAGGAAATAATTTGGTGTTAAAATTCCGACTATAAAATAGTCTAGTATCAAATTAGTTCTTATATAAGTGTATAAAAGAATTTGATTCTCGACATTTGATTTTTTTTGCAAACATGTGGCAGATCGGTTCAGTGTTTTTTGTCGCTGCATTGTCGAACGTAAGAAGTTGGCCTTTTGATTCGATATCATTTGACGATAGTGATGATGGCGTTGTAATGCCAGATTTGTCGTATTTAGGAGAACGAATATTTCGGTAAGTCATGTTAATATTTATATATGTTTGAATTTTGTGAATACTCAATGAGAAATGAAGAGAAGTAGAACAATTATTTACATTCTTCTAGAGTAAAGAGAAGAGGATTTTCTTCCTTATCCCCCACCTAGTAAGTACCTACTAAAAAGAAGAATTGCTAAGTTTTCCGAGGAAGGTTTGCAGTTTTTTGAAATTGAAAGTGATGTTTGTGTTTCTGAAGGTTGGCGAACTGTAGAGTAGTTTGAGTTTTGCACCCAGAATATCTTTTGATTCCACTTTTAGACAGTTTGTTGCTTGCTAAAATCAAGTCATCGACGAAAACTTGTCAGAATATTTTTGTGTTGCCCTCAAACTTCTAATATGGAGACAATAATTATCGTGATTACATTCACAGAACATTACATTGTCTTATTCTCAAACTCTTCAAAAATGAGTACAACTTTTCATATCAAGCAAATCAAACCCTTGAGGGGTGTTTGACTCCATCTGTAGCATATTCTGTTGATTGATTTACAAAGTCATCAGGCAATTTGTTGCATCTACATTTCTTCCTTCAAATAACCATGGAGAAATGCATTTCTTGTCATCCATTAAGGTTTTTTTCATTTTCAATGGCTCAAAATACTCTGATGTCAAAAGATCGTATTATGTCACAATCTGCTTGATTTTCTCTAAAGAATTTCTCTTATTAGGTACCAATTTTGGTTTGTATCGATTCAAATTCAAAAAATTCTAAAGTGAAACATTGTGAAGAAACGACTTTGTTCTTATTGCAATGGCTACAATACCTATTTCTCAAGATATTTTGGTTGTATTTCTTCCGAATGCTCCTCTTCTGTATCTTCAAACTTTTCAGATTCTACACATTCTATATCCTCAATATTTTCTTCTGCTTCTGGAATACCTAATATTTTCTTGATTTCGATACTACTTGACAACTTCAAATGCCTTTCTCTTCATTCCCGAATTTGTGAGGAATTACGATTTCTGCTGGCCAATTTTCATCAAAACTGAGATCATGACTAAGTATTTGGATTTTTTCACCGTGTTATTATTGAATTTTTCAATGTTTGGTTCTCTTGGTAGATGAAGATATGCAATACAACTGAAAATTCTATTTGTCAGTTTCCCCTTCTCTCCAAACCATAATTCTGCTGATACATCTGTTTTCACAAGGAGCTTTTGTTCATCAAATAAACCGCCGTCATAACTGTACCTATTCCTTTTCACATTCCAGGAAACTTCAGCTTCGCTACATATTGTATAATAAGTAGTGAAATGTGTAATAGTATATTACATACCGAGGTGGAGAGTGTTTCATTACTGTCGAGAGATTTTAGTTAGATCGAGACGCAGCCGAGGTCTAACTAAAATCTCGAGACAGTAATGAAACTTTTCCCTGAGGTATTTATACTATTTTATTTACAAGTATTCGAATTTTGGAATTTTTATTTGAATTAAAACTAAAAAAATACAATAATTAACAATTTCATTTACTTTCGGCCCACGGGAAGAAAGTAAACTTTTGACTCGTGGGCCAAAAGTAAAAGTCAAAACATACAATAAATTTTAAAAATTTCATTTACTTTCGGCCCACGGGTCGAAAGTAAGAGTCATAAAAGTGACATTTTCAATCTTTTTAAAAGTCAGTAAAGTCAACATTACATGTATATGATTGTAAATAAAATATTTAATAAACGTTGAAACATACCTGTCTTCATCGTGAGATGTTGGATTTTGATATAAGTCATCCTACAAACAGACAAGACTTCTCTTCATTTCGTAACAATTATTGGTTTTCTATCTCACCCAATCCAATCTACGTACAGAAATTAGGTTAAATTCTAATCCAGGAACAAAGAGTAGGTACCGACCTACAACTTGTTTTTTATTTTCACTTCATCTAGGTCCTTTTGTCTTGGTAATCAAATTGCTTGCCTTTATTGTTTCCAACACTTCTCCAAACTATGATTAAACCTTTTCTTACTACTTGATTTGAAAAATAATAACGATCACTAGTCGTGGGCTAGATTGTACCACGGCATAATCCAAAAAAAATTAGAAACTTGTAGGTAACAGTTGCCGGCCCGAGACTACTTTTAGGATGGAGCGAGATCAGACTTTGGCGCCCCTAATTTAAATGTGAATCGTACGCGCGAGCATGAATTTTGACCATTATCTATCTTATTTGAAATTTGAGAATAGCCATAGTCGTCGTGAGCATTAAAAATGGGACACCCGATTTTTCCTATTGTAAAACGGGCTCACCAGCTACACCGTCGGCAATGACAGGGATTTGACAAAAAATCCGTTGTACAGAAAATACTGATTTACCCAAAATAGCGAAAAATTACAAAACCTGTCAGTCGGGTGTCCCACTTTTAATGCTTACGAGTATACCTACTCTTCTTCTTTTAAGAGTTGACTTAAAGTAGAATAAAATTGTCTTCTGCTGGAGTTGACTTAAGGCAAGAATGATATACACTATTAGGGGAGAGTGGGGCAAAGTGGAATTATACATATGGCAACGTCGCATTAATACGCCATTGTCCAAAACATGTGGTCTATAAGCAGTTCATTTCAGTACATCAAGCTGTGACCACTGCGCTAACGCGTTGTTTCGGTATTGCAAGTTATGCAAAACCGGTGAATATTTGTTTAAATTTTGAAGTCATGAATTTGGGATAAAATCTAAATGATGATATCCGAATTAGAACTGTTGCCGCTATTTTCAAGGTAGGTTATATAACTAACTGTAGTAAATAAAACAGATGGATCGAATCACAGTAGGTGTTGGAAAAATTAAACATTCACTAAAAAGACTACAAATGGGGCAGAGTGGAAAATCTCAAACGGGGCAAAGTGGAAGGCATTCCACTTTGCCCCATTAGAAAAACAATATTAAAAATGGGTTCATTTGAATGCATGTTTATTTTTTATTCCTATTTTTTTAGAGGTCCGTCAAAAATGGTTAGGACTTATGTCCGTAAATCTACACATGTTTGGGATGAGGAAGATATGGTTAACGCTATTACAGCAGTTAGAGCAAATCGTTTGAGTTATGAGCAGGCAGCTCTCACCTATAATGTGCCACGAACGATGTTGTTTCAAAGAGCTAGAAAAAACTGCGTTTCTGAGGAAGCTTCAAGAGAAAGTTTGGCAGATTTACTCGTGGTTTTACACCATAACAAGACCAACAGCTTGCTGAACATTATCTGTTCATGGAGAGCAGATACTTTGGCTTGAAAATATCAGATTTGAGGCATCTGGCCTATCAGTTCGATGTAAAGAACGGAATTATCGTGAACTGTTAAAAAAAAATAGTCCAACGCCCAAGAAGTTAGTTAACACTGTAAAGAGAAATGTCTTCGAAAGCAAAAAGAAAGACAAACCGGAACATTGTCATAGTAAACGCAAAATGGTGGAGCACGTTTCTGCACAAGGTGGTGAAAATGATGATGACACAAGATGTATTTTTTGCGATGGTGAATTCCTAAAACCTAGTTCTGGAGAAAGCTGGATATGCTGCAGTAGCTGCGAGAGATGGGCTCATGAAAAATGTACCGCATATGAAAGTCAAACTAAAAAGGCTTTCATATGTGATTTTTGTGAATAAAATATCTTCTTAACTTTTTGGAACGCCTAAAAATGCTTTTTTTTATATGCCACTTTGATGAACAAAATTTTCCATTTCACTTTGCCCCGTATAGTGTTTCACTTTACCCTACCGAAGGGGCAAAGTGGAATGATTTTCACTTTTTTTTTTAAATTTTTTTTATAAAAAACCTTCACCGCAGATACATTATATCAATGTCCTTTTTAAATTAGAGACTAAACTTTTGATTGACAGCATTTTTACACCTTCTATTTAAATAATAAGATCGCCAGCTAGAAAAATAAAATTTCCATCCGCTTTGCCCCACTCTCCCCTACTACAGGATAGCCTATCCTCATAACGTCTGTGTGGAACAAATCGCCCCTTCCGGCCCTTCCACCAACACGCCAAATCACCAGTTGTGACGTAGGCAGCATGTTATTTCTCGCCTTATTGTAAGCTGTTTAAGCAGCTGACGGAATTAGTTATGACGTCGGAAATGGTGACACACCATTATGACGGCGATTATCAAAAACGAGGCCGACAAGCAATCCTGTAGGTGTGTATCATCCTTGGACTTTAAGCTACGTCTTAATAAACTTAAGCTCACTAAAGCTCTGTTCACCTTTCGCTGCCGTAACAGGAATGATCACAAAAATACGGAGAGCTGTCGAGATATACTGAACGTGTCTTGTTAATTATTTAATACTAAGGTCTGAAGGACTGCTTTTGGATGACCTTGATCACTATCTATAGTCTATTTCATTGAAGTCGATAACTCAAATCCAGGGTTAGGGCCATAAAGTGATTATAAAACTATTGTAAACCATAGGGTTTACAATTACTTTATGGTCCTGAACCTTGATTTGAGCTATCAACTGCAATGAAATAGACTATAAGCACTTCTTCGAACATATCATTTCTCCTGGAAGATTTAATCCCGAAATATCTATCATTAGTTTTGACCGTGTAGGGGTGACACCCGTGACACCATGCCAGCGACGCGTGCGCGTCTCAAAAAAACGTCAAAACAGGTTATTCACTTGGGATTCACATACTATAACATAACCACACGCCTGCTTACAAGCAGAATAACAGAATATCGAAAAGACCGGATTCAAAGCAAAAACATATATTTTTCTTTTTTTTTATCACCAAGGAACGAGTCGGAGGCGCCCCCGAGGTCTGGCTCCTGGAGCGCTCGCTCCGTTCGCCTTATGGTAGGGCCGGCCCTGGGTAACACAAGACTGACTTCTTTATATTCTTTTTCTGGAGCTGCTTCCGCATTAATTTCTGATCTTTATTCTGATCTGCTGTCCATACATCGACTCTTCTATGTTCATAACGTCATTTGACTCTGAATTTTGAGTGATTTGCTTTCTTAGTAGACTCATTGATCTGTATC